ATTTTAGTTTTTAATTTTTAAAAGATATTTTTATTGAGAACCAAATAGCAATGAGTTTCACAACTGATTACTAGCATATTTTCAATAATTAATACATTGTATATTGTTTTCTTAGTGGTTATTCATTGTGCAAGATGCAGACCTGATATCCTGTCTCAAACACTATTAGAACAAACCTCTCTATTCATTGAATTAAAAGAATGGAGCTGTACATCTATCCTATTTTGAATATACAGATACAAAATAGTCATTCACTTATATTCCCCTTTTTGGTTAGTTTTGTCAGAGAAGGGCATGCCATTGTCATATAAACACTGTAGGTACATGAATTCAGCAAAATATCCCAATATAGTACAATAGTCCATAATAGACTGCCAATGTCTGAAGTTCTTGACTCGAGCCTTTTACAGCTCATCATATAAATGTGGCTTTATTTTTATAATTCATTTTCATATTTTTCTGCTGGATGGTTAAGACCAAGAAAGAGTAAGACCTATATAAAAAGAAATGTAACTTTCGTATCTGACAAGGTCAGTCAAATCCCTTCAGGATTTAACCTGAAACCGTGTACCTCAGTTTGTAGATCCTTTGTCAATGTCAGCCATGTGGATGAGTCATGGCCATTGCTTGGCCAATTTGCTCTCTGTTAAAGCTTGTGAGAAAGTTTTCTCTCCATGTAATTCTCCTTAGGCACCCTCTATGTCATTGATCACTTTCCTCTTTGGCCCCATAATATCCTTGATCAGAAAATTTGGGACACAATTGAGTTATAAGATATTACAGTACAGGTTCTCCTATTTTCTGAGTCCTTACTGACCTTGAAAGGCTAGGGCCAAAATGTTGGCTGTCCTTGTAGCCCTTCTTTTTCTTTAATTTTTGGTTTGTGAGAAGCTAATTTTTTTTTTTTTTTTTTCGGAACCAGATATTGAACTCAGGCTCTTGTGCTTGCCAGGCAAGCACTTATTCTACTGAGCCATCTCTATGGCCTCAAATTTTAATTTTTTAATTGGCAGGCCTTTCTAAAATTGATATAAAAGACTGAATGTAGTAGTTTGTGCCTGTAATCTCAGTGCTTGGGAGGCTGAAAACAGGAGGATCACTGAGTCTGAACTCTCTGGTGAGACCCTGTGGACACTGTACTAAATACATAAAAAAGTGAGTTACCTTAAAAAATTAAATTGATATAAAATCCAAAAGACTTGCAATCATTAAAAAAATTTTGAAATGGAAGAAAAACTTTGGAAGTCTAATATGACATTATTTCCAGATAATATACATTCATAACATCTTATTTACTCTTTCAGCTTGTCACACTAGGTAGGGAATACAATACTTATACGTATGAGTCTGATTTATTTCACTTGTGAGTATGGATTCAAGTTGCATCTATTTACCTATAGAAGCCTCAAGTTTAATCTTTTTTATGGCTGAGTAGTACTCCATTGTAAAACGACCACATTTTAAAAAATAAAAATTGTATTTACTCAGTACCATTCAGAATGTCAACAAAACAGTTGCAATTTTTTTTTTTTTGCAATTACAGAGTGGTATTCAGTTAGCAGAACAACAATTATTTCATATAAGCTGTATCAGAGACAACTGAAGATGAAAAAATACCATCCCCATATATAAATAATTTGTGCTGCGCACCAACAAGAACCTGTTTTAAGTTTCCATTCCAATTTACAACCCCCATACTGTACCAGGCAAGGCTATTGAAAATCCCACCAGGACAGGGCTAGCTAAAGACACATTTGGTAGTGTGTTAACTGTACAAAAAAGACACTGTACAGTTTAAAAACAAATCTTACACAGCCTTACATTTCAATTTTTTTCTTCAAAAGGGTGAGTTGTGTACAAGGGGGTTGAATGCTTTATAGACAAGAAAAAAAAACTGCACTAGAATAAACATTCATCATCATCCTCTTCTTCATCTTCCTCATCTTCATTTTCTTCCTCTTCTTCTTGCTCACCTGCCTCCTCCTCCCCCTCTGCCTTCTTTTTCTTGCTCTTTTCAGCTTTGATGACTTCCTCCTTTACTGCATCCGGCTTTCCTTTAGCCCGGTAGGCAGCGATGTCCTTTTCATACTTCTCCTTCAGCTTAGCAGCCTTCTTCTCATATGGCTGCTTGTCATCTGCTGCAGTATTATTCACATTTTTCCAACTTTCTTTGTGACATCACCAATGGAAAGGCCAGGATGTTTTCTTTTGATTTTTGGGTGATACTCAGAACAGAACAAGAAGAAGGCTGAAGGAGGCCTCTTGGGCGCATTGGGACCCTTGAACTTCTTTTTCATTTCTCCTTTAGGAGGAATATGTTTTCATTTCTCTTTCATAATGGACCTTGTCCACTTCTGCCATATTTTCAAATTTCCCTTTTTCTTTAGCAGACATTGTCTCCCACCTCTCTGAGCTCTTAGAAAATTCTGCGAAGTTAACAGAAGCCTCTGGGTGCTGCTGCTTTTGCTCTTTTCAGCAAGTTTGCACAAAGAATGCATATGATGATATCTTGTCTCTTGGCTTCTTAGGATCTCCTTTGCCCATGTTTCCTTGTTTTCCTCAGTGAGGTACAGAGTTACCCAGTGCCCATCTGGTTCTCACTTGCCCTGGTGCTGTCTCTATGGAGCTCAACATACTGCATGGTCCCACATTATTTTAAAAATCCATTCCTTGGGGCCAGGGAGGTAGCTCAATAGAATAAGCACTTGCCTGGTAAGCGCAAGGATCCTGAGTTCAATCCCTGGTACAAAAAAACAAAAACAAAAACAAAAACAAAAAAAAAAAACAAAACCAAACAAACAAAAAAAACCCAAACTATTCCTTGGTTGTTGAGCATTTGGATTGCTTCTAAGATTTCGCTATTGTAAATTTTGCTGCTATAAACATGGATGTACATATATCATTGTAGTATGATGTTTTAAATTCTTTGGGAAGATACTCAGAAGAGGAATAGCTGGGTCAAATGGGCCCTCTAATCTTATTTTTTTTTGTGATATCTCCACACTAATTTCCACAATAGTGTCACCAGTCTACACTTTCACCAACAGTGGAGAAGTGTTCTTTTTTCCTTTCCAGCCCCTCCACCATTGTTATTAATTGATTTCTTTATAACAGCCATTCTTTCCAGGGTGAGATGAAATTTCAGTGTTGTTTTAATTTGCATCTCTCAAATGACTAGTGATATCGAATATTTTTTCATATATTTATTTGCTGTTTGCATTTATTATCTGAGAAGTGTGTATTCATCTCAGATGCCCATTTTTGGTTTGGGCCTTTAAATTTGGGAGGTCTGATTTTTGTTTTTTTTAGTTTTTTACATGCTCTTGATAGTGATCCTTTGTCTGAGGAACAGCTGGCAAACATTTTTTTTTCCAAGATTATGGATTGTCTCTTTACTCTGCTGATGGTTTCTCTTGTTGTACTAAAAGAACGTGCATAATCTGGTTTCTCTTCAGATCGTATAAATCTTTTGCCTTTTAAAAGAACATGTAACATAAAAAAATCAGCTTATGGTGGATATATAAAAGTGACCAGATTTAGCAATTCAGAATACCATATGCCAACTTAAATTTGAATTTCAGGCATATCACAAATAATTTTTCATGTATGTTTCATAGAACATCCATCCATACTTATATTAGAAACATCATTTATTTATTTATTTATTTATTTATTTATTTATTTATTTTTGCAGTACTAGGGATTGAACTCAGAACCTTGAGCTTGCCACTTACTCAACTGAGCTATCTCCACAGGTCCCTAGAAACATCATTTGTGATATGTCTTAAATTCAGTTTTAACTGGTCAGCCCCTACTTTTATTTAGCAATATTAACAAGTGGATGGAAGTGAATCTGTTTCATTTGGGTTTGTAGAGAGGGGGCCTGGTATCTTACACATTGTGTTATGGATGAAGCATTTTGCAAAATGTGAGTGGTAATCAGAGAGTTATTTACAGATAGTTTAAGGCAGGTATGTTTGTGTGAGGCAAATATATACACAAAATGATACATATGCATACACACATGTGCATACATCTCCAGCATTTAATATAGGAAGAGATGAGTGTTCTACATTTAGGTGGTGAGTGGTGTAGCAAATTGTTTTTATGATGTTACTCAGACCTTGATACCAAAGCAAACCAAGATATTACAATAAAAAAGCTAAATACCACTCTTCTCAATAATATAGATGTAAAAATTGTTAACAAAATATTAGCAAGAAATTCAGAAATACGTAAAATGAATTCTGCTCTATCATCAAGTGCGTCCTTTTTTAGGGAAATCAAATCTAATATTTGAAAGTTAGGCAATCTATACTAATAGGCTAAAATGCAATAATAATCTGATTAGACTGTTCTAGTTTGATTAAGGTTTGATTGGCCTCTGCAGTTCTATGTGTCAGTGGCCTGGTCCCAGGGGTGGCAGTATTGGAAGGCAGCAGTACCTTTAAGAAGTGCGACCTAGAAGATTAAAATTGACCCATATCTTTCACTATACTAAATCTGGTCACTTTTATATATTCACCAAAGCTGATTTGTTATGTTGCATGTTCTTTTAGTGTCTGCATTCCTTCATACTACATTGGAAAGTCTAAACATAAAAGGCAGTGTATCTTTTTCAATATCTTAAGAATCTAGAATAATGGAATATGTCCTCAAATATTGTGTATGTGTAATATCTTGCTGGAATGAATGAATGAATGAATGAATATATATATTCAGGAAAAATTATACATGGCAGAATTTCTGAGTTTTGAACAAAAAGCACAGTCACAAATTCTCCACAGATGCAGATATCCATTTCCATTTTTAACAAAACTGCAGTAAAATGTGAACTATCAATAAATCCTGAAGTATCCACAAGGAGGCTAAATCTAAGTAAATGTATTCATTTTTCCTGGTGTACATGTCAGACCCTCAGTAAATATACTTTGAATAGGTTTATGGTGAGCAAGCATGCCTAATCTTCCATATCTCTGTGTCTTTCATACCTTTTCCAGGAACTTCAATGTTACCAGGATGTGCTTCTCAGCCGGGGTGCTCTGGAGTGGCCAAAGTCCAGACTCTGGGGGCAGGGGAGACATCTTCTGCTTCCGAGCACCATGTTTCTTCTCCACTCAAGCTTATCCATGGTAGTGAGGGTGCAGGGTTCCTTGGGTGTGAGACTCTTGGAGCATATTCAGATTGTGAGGCTCCTTGGTTGGGAGCTTCCGTGGTACAGTGCAGGAGACATAGACAAATCTGAGTGTATTGCTGAGGAAGCTGGGCAGTCGAGGTGGTCAGTGTTCTGCAGAGTGGCCCAGCCAGAACCAACAGCTGTTGGAGAGCATGGACAGGAAGTTAGCTCAGGACCCGAGGCCCCTGATGTGACCATGGCTGGGCACCCTGGAATGATTTCCAAGATGATCTGGGTTTGGGGTTTCAGACCAAATGACTAGGATAAGCACCTTTAAAGGTACTGCATGAATTCTCCCTTTGTCAGTGACTTCTACTGGACATAGTTCTTTAACAGGAGCCTCTAGCACTACAGCTAGTCTGCCCAGCACAGGTACACACACCTCACACTTCAGCCACACACCACAGATACACACATGCTTAACACATACTTGCCCAAGACACATGACCCACAATGCCATCCCCACGCATGGAATCCCATGTTCCACCAACAGATCCTGTCCATGTAGCACACTCTATCTCTGTTCCACACATGCTACAATCTGTGCCAACACAGTTATATTTCTATGTATATGTACTCTACCAGTATCCTCCCAAATTATACAAAACCCACACCCTATAATATGAACAACCAGTACTGAGTTCATCACACAACTGCATCACACTGTGGCCTCTCTCTCCTGCACTGCTCATATTTGCACTTACATCTCTTGAGCTTCTTACAGCCCCCAAGCATGTACTTGTATTTTTCATTCACTTACCCAGGAATCCACGGAGTGCAAGGAGATGGGCCCAAGGATAAACCATCCATTGTCCAGGTTGAAAAACGAGAAATGCCTTCTGCCCCCAAGCTTATCTCCTTTTCTTCTTGTTCATCTTGTAAGACCTGTATAAACTCTGTGTGTATAAACAAAGAAGAAACAAGTATGAAAATATACTACACAGAGGTAAAAATGAAAAATGGCGTGGCTGTCTCCTGTGAGGCAGAGGAGACATCAGAGTCCCCAGGAAAGCAACCAAGAATGGAAGAAGCAGTGCTTCCTGAGGGTCTCCAGGTAGGCACTCCTCCCTGTGCCCTTTCCTCCAGAAACCTCCCATTTGACAATGAGCCTGGGGGGGAGGAGAACAAACACAAAACAAAGGCTGAGCCAGACAACCGACCAGGGTCCTGTGCAGTTGAGGAGATAGCCAGGACCGAGATGCCCAGGGTCAAGACTCCTGACTGGCTGGGGTCTGTGGAGAGCGGTTTCAGGTGCATGGCCTGCTGCCGGGTCTTTGCCACCATCGATATTCTCCAGGAGCACGTGCAGTATGGCATCAGGGAGGGCTTCAGTTGCCATGTCTTCCACCGTGCCATGACTCAGCTCAGAGGAAGTGTGGAAGCAGAGTGCACCCAAGAGAAGGTGCAGGAGGAGGAGCAGGAAGCAAAGCAGGAGCAGAAGCAAGAGGAAAAGGAGTGTGAGGAGGAGCCACCCGCAGGGGAAGATCTTGTCCGGAAGAAACCCTGGAGCCAATGTCCAGGCTATGTGTTTCATTCTCCAGAGGAAGGAAGTGAGTGAGGGATTGATCTGCTGTGGGAGCTGTGCTACATCCAAGTCAGCACCATCTCTCCATTCCAGGCTTGGGCCTCTGTGAGGGAGTATTTGGGGCCTTATCAATTCAGAGAAATGGAAAGGGGGATAACTGGGCCCCTTGCTTCTTGCCAAAGCATCTATATGACTACAAATCAGGATTTTTTTCCTGAGCTTTCCAACTCCCACAGGAAATTGAGAGAATTTCTAAGGTGTAGGAGAGCTCTTTTCTTCCTTAACTAAGAGGTATCTTTCCTAATTTTAATTTTCATGCAGCAAATGATATACAAAGGCCAGAAGATTCTAGAAGATAGTGTGGCCTTCTCTTGGGACAGGTAAGTCCTAAAACTCACACAGATTTTTGAGTTTATGAGACAAGGGCCCATGGGGGAGAAAAGAAGGGGGACTGTGGAGCTCACTGGGTGACCTGTTGGCTCCGTGGCAGCATCAACTGGTAGAATACTTGGTTAAAGGGAAATTGACCTCCATTTACTTAAAGGAGAAGTTAGTCAGTTTGGGCTGAGAACTTTCTCAGTACTTTACTTTCCTCAGCTTTAAGAGGAAATGCTGTAGTTCTTCCTGGAAAAGAGAGTTCTTCAGGCCTGGGCTGAAGAAGGGAGCAGGACCCAGTGGGACCAAGGGCTTTGGATCTGTGAATCTTTGGTCTGAGCTGGGATCTCACTCTGGCCCATGAACAAAGCCTTCTTGAGTAAAGGTGGGAAGTGAGTTCCCATGAAATTGGGAAATATTCCAGAACCTTTATATTACTCTATTTGATTTGGAAAATAACTCCTTGTAATGTTCATCACTCTGAGCTTTAATATAAAAGTTTAGATAAAAGTAAAGAACTCTTATAGCTTCTTGTTTCTTCCTCCTCTGCCTCATTTTCTCATGCTCAAGGAGAAGGACCGATCACAGAGATAGCAACAGACAAAGCCAATAGTATAAAAAAGGATGGGGAAACAAGCCTCAGCTCAACATGTAAATGCCATATGCAATAAAGATTGTCTTCCAAACTTTGCCTGGATATATTATTGAGTTGAGCAAATTATCTCTCTATGTATGTATGCATGTATGTGTGTATGTATGTATGTATGTATCTATCTATCTATCTATCTATCTATCTATCTATCTATCTATCTATCATCATCATCTATCTATCATCTTTGTAATCATCTCTGTCTCTCCAGTGATTTGTGAATGAATTTTCATATTAGCAATAAAGATCTCTATCATCATTTTTCAGAGGCAGAAATATCCATATTCCTGGGATTAAGCTTTTTTGGTAATGATTTCTCTAAACCCAGATACCACATTTGATAGGGGAGTGTGACAAACTACACTGAATTCAGTAGAAGTGAGTGGGCAATAGCAAGTACTGTTGGACATGTGTTTACTGGGTCATGGTTGAAAGCATGGAACAGGCTTTGATGGAGAAAGAACACTTCAGAGGCCTGGAGGGGAGTTTCCATGTCTCCTTAAGTAGCTTCTCAGGGAAACATAGGGCAGAGAAAAAAATCTCCCAGTCTTGAAGCTGTCCATGGAGTAGGTTCCTGTGGATTGGCTGAGACTTTGTTACAATACTCAAAAAAGCCAGATAACTGCAAACAGATTTTAAACAGGAAAAATTTCTGTTTTAGAAATTTGAATAACCACTATGAAGACAATGATATAAAATGTATTAATTATTGACACTGTGCTATTAATTGGTTTTGAAGCTGTCTCATTGCTATTTATTTCTCAATAGAATTAATAAAAGATAAAATAAATATAATAAAACACAAACATAAAAAAGAAGTCTGAGCCAATGAGCTCTGAGATTTCTGATTCTGATATCCATGTTCTAATTTTTCTATGTAACTTCTTACTCTGGCTTCTCAAGGTCTGACCTCATCATTTCTGAACCTTATCCTCACATCATTGCAACCACCTACAGGAACAACAGATATTTAGGAAACACCAGAGATTGATTCTGATGCGTGAAGTTGCCCCTGGTGTCTTCAAAAGTGAGAGGAATGTCTTCCTAATCTGAATAAGGCCTAGAGGATTGATGAAGTTAGAAAGAAATAATCAGAATTGACAAATGTGTTGTCACTTATTGTTTCAACAGTTTTTAAACCCTGCTTCCTGACTGCAGGACTTCACATTTTCAGTCTTTCCACATAGGGTACAATGTTTACACCTGTATCCCTTGCCTCAGCAGCCCCCAGGTGACTGATGATGTTGAACATTTTTTTCATATATTTATTTACCATTTATATCTTTTCAAAGTTAATAACCATCTCAGTTGTCCATTTTTGGATTGGGTCTTTGAATTTTGGGGGCCTGACTTTTAAAAGCTCTTTACATGTTCTAGGTAGGAGTCTTTTGTCTGAAGGACAGTCTGCTATAATTTTTTCCCAGTTGTGGCTTTTCTTTTCACTCTGTTGCTGATTTCCTTTGCTGTGAAAAAACTTTTTAAAAAGATGATAACAGTCAAAAAGATTTTTTGAAGTATTTCCCAGAGAGTTTGATTTTTGTTAACGAACTCTTTATTTATCCCTATTTCTACCTACTTCCCCTTCCACAAGATTTAGTGTTTAACTTTAATATTTAAATTTTTGATCGATTTTGACTGTGGTTTTGTGCATGGTGATGGGCATGGGTCTATTTTAAGCCTTTAGCATGTGGAAAGCCAGCATTTCCAGCACCATTTATTAAAGAGGCTATCTTACTTCCAATGAACACGTTTAGCCCTTTTATCAAAGGTAATGTAGCTGAGTGTGTTTATAGTTGTGTCTGCATTTTCTCATCTGTTTCATTGATTCTCAGGTCTATCTTTTTTTTTTTTTGCCAGTACCATGCTGATTTTATCACAATAGCTTTGTAGTATAATTTCAAATCAGGCATTGTGAAATCTCCTGCCTTACCTTTGTTGTCCAGGACTGCTTTTGCCATTGTAGATCTCTTTTGGTTCCAGATAAATTTTAGGAATGCTTTTGCTAGATCTATGAGGTATATTAATGGTATTTTAATTGGGATAGATTTGAATCTGTATTACAATTTTGGGAGGATGGCCATTATCACAAAGTTGGTTCTTCCTATGCAGGAGCAAGAAATACCTTTCCACTTTCTGAAATCCTTTTTGATCTTCTTTTCCAAAGTACTATAGTCTTCATTGTATGAATCTTTTACTTCCTTTCTTAGCTGATTCCTAAGTGTTTCATTTTATTTGGCTGTTATTGTGGAAAGGCATGGTTGCTATAATTTCTCTTTCTGTGCATTCATTGTGTATAGAAATGTTATTGATTTTTGAGTGTTGACTTTGTATCCTGCTATTCTATTGAATTTGGTTATTAAATCTATAAGTCTTTTGGTGAAGTTCTTTGGGTTTTCTGTGTAAAGTATCATGTCATCTGCAAATAATGATGATTTTACTTTTTCCTTTCAAATCATTCCTTTTATTTCTTTCTCTTGTCTGATTGCTCTGGCTATTATTTCCAGAACTATATTGAACAGGAGTAGGTGACAGTGGACATCCTTGTCGTGTTCCTGATTTTAAAGTGAAGGCTTTCAATTTTTGTCAATTTAGGGGGCCGGCCAAATAGCCCAGTGGATTAAAGTGCCTGCAAGCAGGTGCAGGGACTGGGGGGTTCGATCCCCAGGCCTGCCATGCTGGCCCTGCCGCCAGGTGCACTGAGACAGGAATTGAGACTGGGGTGTGGTGGTGTGTGTCTGTAATCCCAGGTCCTTGGAGGCTATAAACAGATGGACCAATAGGAGTCTGGTCTAGTAGTGAGACACTGAACACCCTGTAGACCCTTCCCTAAAATTAAAAAAAAAAAGTCTATTTAGTATGATGTTGGCTGTTGATTTGTTGTACATGGCTTTTATCAAGTTGAGGTAAAGACCATCATTTCTGACTTTCTGTAGTGTTTTCTTTCTATCATGAATGACTGTTGGCCTTTGTTAAAAGGTTTATCTGCATCTATTGAGATAATCATGTAACTTTTGTCTTTGATTCTGTTGATATGGTGTGTTCCATTTATGGTTTTGCATATATGAAACCATTCCTGAATTTCTGGGATGAATTGTACTTGGTCATGCTGTATAATCTTCTTGATGATTTGCTGCATTCTATTTGCTAGTATTTTATTAAGGATTTTCACATCTATGGTCATTAGGGTGATTGGCCTATAGTTCTCTTTTTCAGTTGGGTCTTTCTCTGGTTTGGGTATCAGAGCAATACTTGCCTCCCTGAATGTGTTTGGTAGAACTGCTTTCCTTTCAATCTCATTGAAGAATTTGAGAAGAGTTGGCATGAGCTCCTCCCTATATTTCTTGTAGAATTCAGCTGTCAATCCATCAGGACCTGGGCTTTTCTTTGTTAGTAGGTTTTTAATTACATTTACAATTTCTTTGACTTATATTGGGTCATTCAGAATTTTTATATTTTCTTGATTCAGCTTTGGTAGTTCACATGTATCTAGAAAATTGTCCATTTCTTCTGTATTTTCCATCCTTTGAGATTAAGATTTTGGAAATAAGTATTGATAATCTTCTGAATTTTTATAGGGTCTGTAGTGATTTTACCCTTTTTATGTGAATTTGAACTTTTTCTGTCCTTTTTAAATGTGTTTGCATAGGGATTTATCAGTTTTATTTATTCTTTCAAAGAACCAAGTCTTTGACTTATTAATTCTTTGTATTGTTTTCCTCAAACCCATTGCATTTATTTCTGTTCTGATCTTTATAATTTCCTGCCTTCTTTGGGCTTGACTGGCTCTTCTTTGGGATTTGAGGTGCAGAATTAGATTGTTTATTTGGGTTCTTTCTGTTTTCCTGATGTAAGAATTTATTGCTATAAATTTTACTCTTAAGACAGCTTTCATTACATCCCACAGGTTCCTTTAATTTGTATCCGCATTTTTGTCAGATTATAAATGCTGCTTAATTTCTTCTTTATTTCATCTGTGACCCATTGTTCAGGAGGGTTTTATTTAGTTTCC